CCATTTCGTAGTTTCTGTCTTCACCCTTCCCTTCTGGAGCCAAATGTTCCTTTGTTGGTGAAATTGGCCTCTCCTCTATCTGGCAAGACTTTGCAAAAAGAAAAGTCCTGGTTGGGGGCGGAGAGAAGACTGTTCCAAAGGGGACAGCAAAATGAACCCTATCAGAGGGGTGTCCCCGCGTCTCAGAATGGTGACAACTCGAAGGGCGAGGTTTCTCAGTCCACGTAGTCCTTCTTTCCCATCCAGGGAGGCAGTTTAGTCATCAGCCCTACTACCCCTCGATCTATATAGCAGCCTTGAAGGAAAAGACATCGGACTTCTTACGACTGCCCACTGGGCAGTTTGTTCTGATTCTGGCACCTTTACGTGTTCCCCCTCTACACACACCTCCCACGGCATAAGGGCGAGTAGGGGCAGACTCTGAGTCATGTCCCGGGCCAGGAATCGAGGAGGGAAGCGCCGCCTCTCCTTGGGCCCCTTCTCTCCCCCTTTCTCCTCCTCGCGGTCCTTGCCAGATGCTGCGCAGCAATCACTGATTCCCCATCACCAATTCAGCTGGGTAAGGGTCTCCAGGAAGACGTAACCCAGCACCGAGGTGCAGGCAAAACGGTCTAGGGGATCCCGATTTGGATGCGCTCCAGTCTGCGTGGGGGCGGTCCTGGTGTGGGGTGAGCGTCTGAAGGGGTAGTCCGAGTCTGGGCGGTGGGGAGGAGAAGAGAGGGGGAGGCGAGGGCGGGCAGCGAGTCTAGGAGCCGCTGGGAGAGGGGTAGGGGGCGGCCCTTCTCCAGGAATTTCCGGGGATCAGGTTACAGCAGTAGCTGAGCGCGAGCAAAGTGGGACGCGAGGCCCTGCTGCCGGACCTGGCCCCTCGCCCCTTCCTCTAGCGGCCTTGGCAGCGCCGCCCCTTCCCACACTGACCCCGTGTGGCGGGGCCGCTCCGCGCCCCCAGGCCGTTCTGTTATGGTAGGGCCTCCTCAACCCCGAGTTGTCGTCGGGTCTCCGCGGCCCCGTGTTGTCGTAGGAACTCTACGGCCCCGCGTTATTGTAGGATCAGCGCGGGTTCGGGCCTCCCCGGACGGGACTCCGCGTCCCCATTTGGCGGCCGAGGGGTCTCCCCGCCCCCGAGTCGTCTTTGGGACGCCTCGGGCCCGGGTGATTGTGGGTTCTCCCCGGCCCCAGGTGTTCGTTTCATCCCCGTGGCCTGCGGTGGTCGTAGCGTCTCCGAGGCCTCGGGCTCCCGTCGGCTCCCCGTGGCCCCGAGTTATAGTCGGGACCCCTCGGCCGCGGGTGATAGTCGGGTCTCTACGGGGCCGAGCCGTCGGGTCGGATCAGGCCTCGGTGCCGTCTCAGGGTGCCCCGCAAGTCCGCAGGCAAGATGAACATTCTGGCGCCGGTGCGGAGGGACCGCGTCCTGGCGGAGCTGCCCCAGGTAGGAGCCAGGGCCACGTCGGGATTCTGGCTACTATAGGGCGTGGGCGGGGAATAGGCGGCACCAGACCAGTTAGACAACGGCCCAGCCCTGCTGCCCAGCAAGGCCTGTAGCTTCTGGGTGGTCCGCTTCCCACCCCACCCCCACTCGAGTTGTTTGGTTGCGGGACTAGAGTCTGGAGTGGCTGAGCCCCATTCTCTTGCCTGTGTTTCAGTGCCTGAGGAAGGAGGCCGCTTTGCACGTGCGCAAAGACTTCCACCCCCGCGTCACTTGCGCCTGCCAGGAGCACCGGACAGGCACCGTGGGGTGAGTTAGGGATATCCTCCTATACAATGAAAAAAAGACCACACCCCCCAAACCCTGAAGACATACCAAATGTACACCACTGCACTCGTGGAGACCCATTTCAGTCCTGCCAGCTAATTGTTAAGCCTGCTTTCCTCCCAACGTGTTTTCCTCACAGGGTTGTTGTGAGTTGTAGGAAATGGGGTTGCTGGATTTCAGATATAGAGAAGGTATTCAACATGGAGAAATGGTCACATACCATCCATTGAACCCCAGGGCAGGGACGAACGCTACCTAATGGGACAAGTCTCATAGTGGATTTAAAAAGGTTAAATAGTAGGGGGGCTGGAGTTGTAGCTCAACAGTAGAGTGCTTGCCTCATACATGTGAGGCACTGTGTTCAATTCCTAGCACCACATATAAATAAGCAAATAAAATAAAGGTCCATCAACAACTAAAAAATATTTTAAAAATAAATAAATAAAAGGTAATAGTAGCTCTGCGTGGTGGTACCTGGAGGCTGAGGCGGGAATATCACAAGGTCAAGGCCAGCCTTAGCAACTTTGTGAGGTCCTTAGCAACTTAGCAAGACCCTGTCTCAAAATAAAAATAAACAGGGCTGGGGATGTAGCTCAGTAGTAAAGCCCTTGGGATCAATTCCCAGTACCTCCCCCCCCACAAAAAAAAGGAGGGTAATACTAATGAGTTGCCATCATTAAGAGAGCCTTTTTCTGTGTGGGAGGCAGTGTGTTGGATGCTATTGTCTTTTTTTTAAACTGGAGATTGAATCCAGAGGCACTTTACCATGCAGCTACATCCACAGCCCATTTTCTATTGTACTTTTTATTTTGAGATAGGATCCTGCTAAGTTGTTTAGGGCCTTGCCAAGTTGCTGAGGCTGGCCTCAACTTTTTCTTTTTTTTTAAAAAACATTTTTAGGGCTGGGATTGTGGCTCAGTGGCGGAACACTTGCCTTGCACCTGTGAGGCACCGGGTTTGATCCTCAGCACCACATAAAAATAAATAAACAAAACAAAGACATTAAAAGAGCCTTGTATAACTAAGAAAAATTAAAAAAATATTTTTAGTTGTAGATGGATAGATCAACACAGTACCTTTATTATGCCCAACAGATGCTACTGTCTTTTATCAAATAGAAAACACTACCACTAAAGATGGATTCTGATTTAAGAGATATTAAAATGGGGAGAAGATGTAGATATTCCCTAGAATATATGACATAAATCTCATTTTAACCTTCACGATAACCCATTAAAATATATGTTAAATCTCCACTAATCAGTGTTGAAATTGAGGCTCAAAGGGGCTTAAGTAACTTGTCCAGAGTCACATGGCTACTCAGTGTTGGGGGTGTAGCTCTATGGTAGAGAGCATGCCTAGCATGTACAAGGTCCTGGGTTTAATCCTTATTAAAATAACAGAACAGGAACAAACCCGTTAGGGTAAAAAGCTGGTGTTTACTCATCCTGTTCACTCTTGTGTTCAGCAGATTTAAGATCTCCAAGGTCATTGTGGTGGGGGACCTGTCAGTGGGGAAGACTTGCCTCATTAATAGGTAAGGGTGCTGGGCAGGGTGGAGTCAAGCCTGGTAAGATATGCTGGGCTATAGGTCAGAGCATCGGATGTTTCCTCAGGTTCTGTAAGGACACCTTTGATAAGAATTACAAAGCTACAATTGGAGTGGACTTTGAGATGGAACGATTTGAAGTGTTGGGTGTCCCCTTCAGTCTCCAGCTGTGAGTAATTCCTTCATTCTTTCCAGCTATCTTGCCCCAGCACCTATAACCATGCCCCCACATTCCTGGGTTCTGCTCTTCCTCCAGTTGGGACACTGCTGGTCAGGAGAGGTTCAAATGCATTGCGTCAACCTACTACCGTGGAGCTCAAGGTAGGGACTGGGCCATATGGGGCAGGTGGGTCTAAGAGTGCTCCTAGAATCTGATTTAGAGTGTGGAGGGTGGGGGATTGATCCAGTGGTGTCTTTCTTGTCAACCTGGGATTGTTTCTGCCATTCTTCCAGCCATCATCATTGTCTTCAACCTAAATGATGTGGCGTCCCTGGAACATACCAAGTATGTGAGGATGCTAGAACACAATGGGAGGATCAGGAAGGGAGGGTGGTCAGAGGAGAAGAAGAATGCATCTGGGGGGGCTGAAGGTATAGTTTAGTGGCAGGGCACTTGCCTAGCACAGGCAGGGCCCCAGGTTCAATCCCCAGAACAAGTGGGTATTGGAGGGGCAAAGAGAATGCATCTAGGATCAGAGAAATAAATTAGGCATATAAATATATTGGTGGGAGGAATCTGTCAGGCTCACTCATTCCCCACTCCTGTCCACCATCTGTGGCAGGCAGTGGCTTGCTGATGCGCTCAAGGAGAATGACCCTTCCAGTGTGCTTCTGTTCCTCGTGGGTTCCAAGAAGGACTTGAGTGTGAGTGTGCTAGTGGGGGGACTTCCCAACTTGGTGATGGGACCCCCCACATCTAACTCTGACCTTCGTGCAGACTTCTGCTCAGTATACACTAATGGAGAAAGATGCTCTCAAGGTGGCCCAAGAGATTAAGGCTGAATACTGGGCAGTCTCATCTCTCACTGGTGAGTGGAGGCTTCAGGCTTTCTATATTCCTGCCCACCTGTCCTCTCACTCATATACCTCTAGCTGTGCCCAATGCCACAGACCTGGCATTGCCACTAAGCACCCATCTGCTTCCATGTCAGGTGAGAATGTCCGAGAATTCTTCTTTCGTGTGGCAGCATTGACATTTGAGGCCAATGTGCTGGCTGAGCTGGAGAAATCGGGGGCTCGGCGCATTGGAGATATTGTCCGTGAGTGTCTACCTGGTTGAGGGTGGCAGAGAGCCAGGGGAACTGCAATCCCTACTTCACGTATTTCTCATCCTTCTTTAGGCATCAATAGTGATGACAGCAACCTCTACCTAACTGCCAGCAAAAAGAAGCCCACGTGTTGTCCCTGAGGGATGAGAAGACTGTCCAGTGACTGCCCATCCCTGGGGCATTGTATCCCTCTGACCCACAGAGCTTGACCCCTGGACATTCACACAAACTGTCTCTAGACCAAAGAGCTGCCCCTTAGTGGCAGTACCCCTCCAGAGGGGTAGCTGGGACCATGCTAGTTACTACCTGCTCCCCAGGCACCATGCCAAAGACTGGATCCCCTTACTCTTCTGGGGGCTCTCCAGGGTGTCCAGCAGTGGGGAGTGGGGCAGCATCTCTGCTGCTTTTGCTCTGCCTGCTGGGCCCTTTGGGTATGAGGATGCCTAATGATTTCAGACTTATACTGTGCCTTATGCATTAAAATCTCTTTGTTATTAGCATTTTGGGGGCTGAGTCCTTTGCTGGTGATGCACAATGTAGAATGAGCCAAGCTATATGGTCACTGGGGCCTAGAGTCCCCTATGGGAATTCTGGTCAACCCTAGGTAGGATTCAGGGATTAGGTAGGCTGAGACCTCATATAAAAGATTTGGGGAACTGACTAGACTCTTACTATATAAGTATATAAGTTATGACTGGCTTTGAGAATTCTTTCCTTTGATTCCATCTCCCCTAATGCCTCCCATTCCAAATTTCCATCATTGGATTGGTGTGTGTGTGTGTGTGTGTGTGTGTGTGTGTGTGTGTGTGTGTGTGT